TGTGCGCGCAGAGGAGTGCCTGGGCAACCTAAGTCTGCAAAGTAGAAAACAAAGGGGTTAAGCACAGATCATTGGACCGTGCTACAAAATAAAAGTAAAAAAAAATAGGAGCCCTACTTCGGCTATGTGGATGCTACAGGTTCTGACTCGGTTTCTGCAAGGTGATTGGTAGCTCGGTTTGAGCAGGGCTTTGTTAGTTCGAGCTTAGCAAGCGTCTAGATATCTCGGTTGTGGAAACGGTTCTGTTTGATCGGTTGATCGTCTAGGGGCAGCTTTTTGGGTTCCATCTAAAAAACTAAGAAAGCTGGTTTAGCCCCAAAGGCCTAGATCGGTTGGAGTTCAGGTATCTCAGTATGCTAAGCGCAAACCTAGTTCGGTTGGTTACCTCGGCTAAGGTCTATCAAGAAGTGGTTTGACTTATTCAAAGCTACTGGTGTAAACATGAAGTATTAGTCCGGTTGTAAGCTGACTAGACTTTTACCTGGCTTAAACAGTATCCTAGTTCGGTTGCATCATGATTTTGGATCAAAAACCAGTTTTCTACAGGATATTTCATATACTCATGTGTTCTATGGTGACGTTTTTTCCATAAAAGTACAGAGCGAAGCAAAATGGAAAAATACATCTTGCAAAAACATAGAAAACAAAACATAGAAAGCAGAATACGAAAACAAAGTAAAGGTACAGTGCTTACCTGATGAAGAGGCAAGAGTTAGAGGGAGACTAACAGTTATGAAGAACACGAGCTCAAAAGATTGAAGAAGGAGTAGAGGCACAGAGAGGGAAAAATTGCAAAGAGTGTCAAAATGCAGAAGCAATGGAGGCTCAGATAAGGAAAAGTTACAAAATATGGCAAAATGAAGAGGCTCGTTTTAGGTAAAGGAAAAATAGCGGGACTGTTCAAATTTCACGAAGTACGAAGACGGCGTGACAGCCGTCCTCAGTCAATCAAAGCGTGCCACGTGTCCTGGGAAGGAGAAACGATTCAGTCGCTGTGATTGAAGAGACGTTTTGACCGGACAAGCAGAGCCCGGTGTGAAATTAGCTCGGCTGGAAGGCTTAAGGGTTTTTAGCTTGGCTGGAAGGACTCAAAAATTCAGCTCGGTTGATAGACAGGTAATCCCTATCATGCTGCACAGATGGAATTAACGGGCAATTGAGAGGGTAATTTTTGTAAAAATTGGGCCGAGCTGGGAGATGGTCATTATGGCCCACAATACAAAGGGCTGAGTAAAAAGGCCGTAAAGTTACTCCTGCCCAAGAGAGGTACAAAATTACTCCGGCCCGAGATAAATGTAATGTTACTCCGGTTCGGAAGCGGCTTGGAGTTAGGCCGGTCCCAGAGTTAGTCCAGTCATGGCATATTGTGGTTAGAACGGTCAGAACCTTGCTACTTGGTAGCTCGGTCTAAACACACCATGGTTCGTACATGAGAAAACCGAGATAAGGTGTAGCGAAAGGAATAACCGGACTAAGGATAGTTCGGCCTACTCTGCGACTCAGCATAGCCGTGATTACTTCGGTCATGTTGGAGTTCGGCCATGATAAAAATCATCTCACTTGGTTTAAGCAGTGAGGAAGGTGTTGAAGGATAAGTATTATCTTTCAGGAGTATGAATCCTAGGAGGACTTTGCATGGAGGAGTAGAAGTCCTACTAGGATTATGCCACACAAAACCTATAAAAGCTCACAAACATCACCTTGGGAGAGGTAATACACAACTTTGCTTTCTAAATACACGGAGCTTTTGTCTATTTGTCAAGCTTACTGACTTAGGCATCGGAGAGGTTTCCGGTACACACCCGCTGGCTAGCTCACATTTGCGTTTTCAGGTGATAAAGCGATGACGTACAGAGGAGCGCAGACTTGATCAATAGGATTATACGAGAAAGTTTATTTCTTTCTCGTACAAAATACATCCGTACGTTAGATGAACAACAACATTGTCTTACACTCCAGTAGCGAAGATATGAGACAACATACAAACATATATGACAGATAAAGGTGTTTGATTTCTCATTCCTCATCTGACATGTAGTAGTCAAAGAGATATTTTTCATTGTTTAAGACATTATTTCACTCAATCACTGTCAAATCTCTGTTTCTTGCTTCTGCCATTTCGGTGGCTAGCTGAAGCATGAAATGTCGACATCTCCGCATCAACATTCTATTGTTCTCCTTCTTAATTCTGCTAACAACTTTTTCATAGTCACTCACATTTCGTCTAGCCATGGTCAATGAACGACGATGAGGTACCGGTGCCCCAAAGTTACGTAGATCATTAAACAATCCTTCTTACTCCGTTACCCTGAACGCCCATTCTGCTCGGATACCAGCATAATAATCCTTTGGACTCGATTACTTTTCGCTCTTGTAGTCATAAGTAAATGGAGGTAGCAGCCACACTTTCGGATTTCTTTGTTGGCGTGAACTTCCTGCACCTCTTGAAGACATTGTTCGTAAAATAAACAAACAAATAATAATAGTAATTGTATATTATGACTATTGTTATGCCTTGAACAAACATCATACTGGGGGTGTCGCTATTTATAAACATCATACTGATGGTTAACTAGAGATGATCTAGTGACGATAATGCATGCTGGGGTACTACGGAATAAGTGATACCCGTGATATTATTTTTTAGCTTTTCATTTCATGCAATCCTAGGTACCCGTGACTTTGTGTACCTGTGATGTAGTCACGGACGTGGTTGTCAAATAAAATCATAATTGTAGGCCAGAGGATGACAATGCAATCTCTTCATATTGGAGCAGTGAGTTGTCAAATAAAACAAAGCAGTGAGTTGTCAAATAAAACAACATACAGTGAGTTGTTACATCGCCACATGAAACTATTTTTTCTTGCTTACTTTTTTAATACATAAGTAGTCACTTGGAATTGACGATTTCAGTACAAATTGGTGTTTTCAACAAATTATAAATGAAATTAAATGCTTAAATTTTCTTTGTTATAAAGTAATATTATTCGTAAACAGCCTATATTTTATCTTATTTTCACTTAGTGAACTTCACAGTCATCCCATTTTCTCATCTTTGCATTTTTTGCTTCTTTTTATATTCGGTAAATTACACTTTACTCCTTCAGTCCATCACATAATTGTTTATCAACACTATTGCCATGTGGTAGTATTGATGTGACTTAGATGAATTCTGAAATGTGAGAAAAAAATAAAGCATTATTTGCGCTGCAGAAAGTCACATGCATCATGTAATATGAGGAAAAAAGTGACAAACTATATAAGCATCTGCACAAAGTCACATAGCATCTGAGGAAAAACCAAAGCATTCAAATTATTACATCTGTTCAAGTCATTGGCGAGCATCACTGACAAATGTTGGACGTATCACTGCGCCGAGCTACAATTTATTATCGTACCGTACCTACTGTGCCCTTGTGAATTATGCAATCCATTAAAATTTTGAGGGGATGTCATAACAAAATAACATTAAATTAATAAATATGTCAATACACCTAAAAAATAAAACAAATTTGTGAATAAATATTTCCAAAAATTTAAAAATATTTTAAAGATTTTTAAATTGTGAGGTCACATTTATTTTTAAAAAAAAAATCAAGCAAAGAAATTTGACTAATTCAGACGTTTAGTCGGTTGATCAGCTTGGTTTTTATTTTATTATTATTTTTTTATGTTTTTACTTTTTGTTTTGGAATAACAGTAAATTTTGCAATTCATAAAAGTCGAAGTGACAACTCCTATCAAGTTGATGCATAGTTGTTCAGGTCATAAAAGTTGACGTGACAACTCTGATGCATAGTTGTTTACAATAATTTCATACATACAGCTACCATGTGTATATATGGTATAAATATCGCATCATACCACAATAAAAGTTTTACAGCTATTTCGAGCGATATCATCATGAGATATACGGTGGTTGATCTGTATTCAACAATCGGTCGGTATTGGGTTGCAGATGGAGATGAATTTGAATACCCAATAAATCCAAATTTGCGTTACTCACGTGCCACCGTCAATACCATGAGAGCTGAGTGAGAATTTCGTAAAACTCGAGCAAATGTTCTCGTTGAGCTATGTCGTGAAGTTAATCTTAAATTTCTTCATCGGTTAGCCATACGTATGCCAACTGACACTCCACAGTTGTTGCAAAGGGCATTGCATCGTATCCGCGACGAGGTTAATCGCATGACCCAACGTTTGCAAAGGTCCGGACTAATGAAGACCGCAAATGAGCGTGCCGAAGATGGGTTAATGGATGATGCACACCAGTACTACGCCTAGAGCATGGATGTTATGTATGAATCTGATATTGAGATGTCAGATGATGATGATAATGAATGAAATTGTTTGGATGAACGCCCAAACCATTTCTGTAATGCATGCAATTTTTAATGCTTATCCACGACTTATCAATGAAGGGAGATATTTCAATTGCTTTCGAATAGTTCTTGTAATTCTACCTTTACTTTCTCTCCGTTATTGTTATTTTGAAAAACGCTACTTCAACTAAACTTTCATGATTTCATGCATTATTGATGTGGAATATAATAATGATACTTAATGAAGTACATGTTCATATAACAAATAGTTGAAATACACGTTTAAGCTATATGAACAACAAATATATATGTGTACATTTTGTTTGGTTATCATTGGTTTGTACATGAAAAGAAGACAGTGAATGCAGTCTTTCAGAAAAGTGAAAGAAAAGGGAAAACAAAATTATGTGTTTATTTAGATATTTGTTTTGTTTCCTGTTTACTCATATTTTTCCCCACAACTATCCATTATGCAATGTTTACATTTTTTTCCCATATTTTGTTTTGTATAAAATTTTTAGTAACCTGTAGCAACACAAGTGGTCCTCCAATCTCGCTCAATAATAAAATCTTATCAATTCTTATCATTTTTTTCCTGTTTTCCTTTTCATTTTTATGGAAATCATCAAAACAAGTAAGAATAAAAAATTGTAAAATTATATTTTTTGAATAAATAAGTATGACACATTTACATCATCTGTACAAGTTTGATTTACAAAAACTATAACAAAAACTATAAATAAAATAAACTATACACTCCACATCACACCCGCTAATGCCCTAACCTGCCCCCAGTCCCACAATCCCGACCGTGGACCTCCCTCCTCGGTCTCCTGCAGTAGACTCCCTGAATATCTGGCTCCCCCAATCATAAATGCGTATCCTGTGGAGCCTGTGAGTGTGACCCCCCCTCTACTGCATATGCTGCCCCTGATCCTGTCTGTGGCGAAAGATCGAATACTGCTGAGCTGTGAAACTCCATCATCTGGTGCAACTGTATCACGATCTGCAGCTGGAGCTCGACCTCTGCCTTTGCCCGCACCCCGACCTCGGCCGCGACGTCCGCCGCGACCAAAACCTCGCCCTTTCCCGCGCGCTCTGGGTGGGGGCTTAATATGGGCCTCAGCGTCAACGTGGGAGATGTCAGTGAGAACTGCATCATGTGTACTCATGGTCGCCGTCGAACTGTCTGGTGGTGGTAACTGGGTGGATGGGGTAACAACGTCATGCATGTATCGGGGCGGTGTCCAATCAGGGTCAGGCACATAAGGTATGCCGGTATGCTGCGTAGGAAGTACGTCGAGGGAATCTGCAGATATATATGGGGTAGTATGTGGTGGGGTGACTGATGTCGAAGGAGCTGATGTGGCAGGCGCTAAAGTGGAAGGCGCTAACGTGGAACACGCTGATGTATCTGGAGCAGCTGCTGAAGTGTGTACACCGTAGTGGCCGTAATGCAAACGATCTCCCTGATGGGTAAGCTGGAATGCCTGGTACAATAACTCCCGGATCTCTGCAACGGCCTGCAAGGCATGCTGCCCATCACGTCTTAAATGGGCGTCCTCAGCCAAGTGAAACGACCTCCCAACTCCAGCCATCTGAACAAACATTCAGACGTATTATTAGGCTACAGTTGACTGAAAGTAAATAAAGTATGATTTTAATAATTATCTGACACATAATATGATACTCACCAATGCCTCAAGATAAGGGCCAACTCCCTGATATCCAGACTCAGACACGTGACTCGGATTCCCGACTAGTAGGTGTGTATGTCGCCGATACCACAACATGTAAGGGTCGGAAGAGGGGATCACCTCATCACTGTAGTCAGCCTGTACAATACTATCCCGGCGGGCCTCCCATAACTGTATATATCGCATATAAAACAGATGCCAGTCAGTGCCAGCTCGGCTACGCCTATCAGTGACGTGCAACTGCCACTTAGTGTCGAATCGATCCGGTACGGACTGCACCCGACCAAACTGTTGGAGGACACGATGGGGGAGATGCCACTCAACCACTTCAAAATAAATAAGTGGCACTCTCGCCATCCATATCTCCTGACCCAGTCAGCAGTAGTCGGGGAGCGTACCGAGGACCCCAGCGTAAGGTTGCCAGATAAACTACAATGACGACAAATAAATTAAATTTTGCTCGTGAACTCAAAACATATACAATGAAGAAGACAACTAAAACGCAATTAAAAAATTTCATACCTCGCCCTCGATCATCTGGTCCAGCTGGTCTTTATAAACAACCACTACGTGGGTCGAGACGACCTCGTGGCCCATGTCAACCCTCCACCGGCTACCTCGCAGTCCGGTGGGCAACTGCATGTCCCCCTCACCCATAGGCAGCTCACCAGGACCAACCAGTTGCTGCCTAGACGGGGCAATGCGAATCAATCTCTCCCATGCCCAAATCTGCAATAGTTTGAACACAATTACAATACTGATATATGGCATACAATATGAATTGGCATGTAATAAAATTGTTACTAACCTGTAGCAACACAAGTAGTCCTCCAATCTCCCTCGTACCCACCTGAGCTGCTCGACATAGCATCCTATACAACCATGCCAGAGCCGCGCTACCCCAGTTGTACTGCCCAATCTCCTCAATGTCTCTCAGCAATGGCAAGTACATCAGCTTGACCAGGTTCTGTGACTTATCAGGGAGAAGTACCCCCCCAATAAGCCACAGAATATATGCTCGGGTATGCTACTGTACCAACTCATCTGGAGCATGATCTGGAAGATGAGCAAAGTGCTCGGCCAGCCACCTTACCCTCACTCTACCTGCCTGTAAATCTGCTGGTGTAGGTGCTACTCCCAATAGCTTAGCACATAGGGCTACCCACTGCTTCGTTGCGACAGATGGGTCAACTCCAGTAACTGCTCGGCCATCAATCTGAAGACCATATAGGACGGATACGTCCTGCAACGTGACGGTGGCCTCCCCGATCGAGAAATGAAATGTATGAGTCTTTGTGCACCACCTCTCGACGAGAGCAGTGATGAGTGCGTGGTCCAGTCGAATTGCCCGGATAACGATCACACCATGAATCCCGCGCCGTAAATAGATACTGCAAGACTCTATGGTCCAACGGATGCTTCCACAATCCAGAATCTGCCGACGGCATGTCAACACGGTGCGTGCCTCATCCTGCACAACAGATGACCAATTTTTAAATAATAACATTATCACGAAAATATACAATAGAATGCAATGTATTTTTTGTAGGCGTAAAGTCCAACAAACGTTATTGCATACCGGACGGTCCCACATACTGTCAGCCCGATGTACCTGTCTAACAGTGGAAACCTCCTCAGGTACATGTGCCATGAAGCCTGTACAACTGAAATATTAGATCATCCATATCAAAATCTCATTTAATCATAACATAATAATAGAGAAAACAGTAATTATTGATTTTGTACTTAAGATGTAAAATACAATGAAGTAAATGTTATGGGTTCGAGAAAAGACAAATTTATGTGCCACTTACACGGAAGCAATTCGAAATAATGATTTACAATTTATGGCATATTTGACAACAACTTAAATATTGATTTTGTAATGCTAAAAGTTTGAATAAATTATAAATTTTTCAGAAATACATATCAATTTTGTAATTGTGAACAATGGCTGCCAGATTCCAATTTTTAAAAATTTTAATTTATAAAAGGTTAATTTTTTTAAAATTTTGTAAATTTTTTAAATTAATAAAATGTGAACAATGATTGAAGCATTCGATTTTAATTTATTCAAAATATGAAATTTTTGAAATGGTAGAAGAACTACGTGATTAAGTATAGAATCATGTAATACAATTTTCAATCAAGCACACGTGAAAAAACTAGTCACCATTTTCAGAAGTAATTATACAAGGTTTTTCGTGATCGTTCACTCATGATTTGGTTTCACACAGTTATATGCATTCACTTTTGAATCAAGTTACAACATTATTGTAATAACATTTTTACAATGTAACGACCCGTTTACAAATACAAAATTTAAAAATACATATTAAAATGATCTATTAACAAATGAAGAATTTCAAATGATAATTACAAATTGTAAGTATTCTAGTCTTCATCGACAAAGTCGTCGCCGGACATATTCGCAACCTGCCATGACTGTCTGGTGGCACTACTGCAGAGCTAGTAAACGCCTGTCTGATATAATCCATCTTTCGGAATACGAGCCATAGATGTACGACCCGTTTACTTCTCGTACAGACGAACTCATAAAACTCTTAAAAAGGGTGTTTTCCATACTTCAATCATAGCGGAAGAAAATAAAAGAAAGACAAAAAAAAGAAAAAATTTTGCGATATTCTCGAACTATAATCTTTTGAAGGTCAGGTACTTGGTAACTCTTGGTGTAGTATCGCCAAATCCTCAGATGTCATAACCGGATCTAGGATATGGATCAACGTACTGGAATGGATTGTCACCGCATTCAGACATTACAGCGAGCATATGGGAACATGGATAGTGTCTTATCTCATATTTCCTACAACTGCACGTGGGTTGATTCATCCGCACAATTTGTGTATTGCGACCTCGTCCATGGCGAAAAGATGTTTGCACCTCAAATACGCGGCGGGGCCTATAAGACAATATTGATACAAACTAATCAAGTTCATGTTTTTAGATGTAATTAACTTAACAACATAATAATAACAATTTTTTCACATTACAAACTAACCTGTCATACGATATCAACTTGAAAGTATTTCCCCTTGCGATACCCTCCTCCATAGTTCTTTTCATCTCTCTAGGGTATTGGAACTCATTGCGTACATCTGTTTCAGCTTGGGTGCCCATCTCGTCAAAATATTTGACGAGTCGTCGAAATGTAAATTCAACCATAGCTGAAATAGGTAAGTTCCTTGCACCTTTCAAGACGCTGTTGAAGCACTCTGCATCATTACTGGTCAATAACCCCCAGTGATATCCACCGTCATATGCAAGGGCCCAGTCCTCAGGATTCATCTTGTGGACCCAATTGATGGCTTCTTGGTTAATAGCCTGTATCTGATCTAAGTAACCATTACACTTTCGTCATTGATCAGCACTCCCTGCTTTCCACAGAAGTTGTTTGAGCTCCTTATTTCTGAAATATGTGTTAAAGTTACTGCAAACATGTCGAAGGCAGTGCCGATGATATCCAACAAATTGGAGCGACGGATTCAGCCAATGCCGCCTCACAGCAGCTAAAATACTCTCAGCTCGATCAGCTATCAAAGTCACTCCCTGTCGGTCCATGACAATATGTTCCTTGATATTTTGAATGAAGAACAACCAAGACTCCAAACTCTCCATGTCGACAACAGTGAATGCAAGCGGTAATATTTTGCCATTGGCAGTGACAATCGTTGCTACAAGCAACACACCAGTGTATTTACCGTATAAGAATGTACCATCTATAGTTATAACAGGCCTACAATATCTAAAGCCATCGATGACGGGTTTGAAAGACCAGAAAATAAAGTGGAAGACAGGCATAATGGTTGTATGCTCGGTATATCTGTGCTTCCATGTCACGATGGTGCCAGGATTCGATGTCTGTAATGCATGCATGAATTTAGGCAACTGCCTATATGATTCATCCCAATCACCGAATACCATTTTAGTTGCCTTTGCCCTTGCATGCCACGCCTTCTTGTATGATATACTATAGTTCATGGTCTTTTTTATATCTTCGATGACATTCTTAATTGGCATATCAGGTTCATTCTGCATACGACAATCAAATATGAGTTGGATTATCTAGATGTGAACACTATAAACAAACAAATATGTATGTATATGTAAACATTTATTTTTTATACTAACCGCAACTTGTCCCAAAATATGAGAAGCAATGTAACTGGAGCTAATATTAGTGTGGTCCCTGTTCATTCGTGGGTATAAACAATGATGAGGATTGGCTGCCTCCTCTCATGCTTCTTGGCATCTTCTAGTGCAAGCTCTGATAAAAGCTCTTTTCTTGCAGCATCTGAAAAGACCATGTTTCCCACTAAGAGATGCACGCAACCACCAACTGCAGTCGTGCTTGCAAGCAGACACCCAAAGGTCTCGCTTGGAGGTTACGACCATATACTCTCGATTATTTGTTGCACGGTACAATTTCACAGCATGTAGAAGTTGCTTCTTATCAACAAAAACCATTCCTCTGTCCAACTCGGGATTTTCAGCACTCCAGATCCGGTTACGGAGAACGACATCACGGGTACTAATGTCAAAATCACCACCAATGTGAATGTTGTCATAGAAAGGGATTTCAACTCTAGGTGGAATGGGGGCATTTTCAGGGTCAACGGGAGCCTGGGCATCATATTCATCATCATCATCATCATCTGATCCGCCTAATAAATTTTCTTCATCACACATGTCATTGTCATCATCGTTTAGGGCGACATCAGGACCATGTCACTGTCAGCAAACTGCACCTCGTTCACTGTTTCAGCCATATTACCAGCAACTTCAACCGGAGTTGTATGATGGATACATGTGGGCACATCTTGTGTGTTACTGTCAAATTCATACCCATATCCACCACCTGAACTTGATTCTATACCATGGCCCTGAAATGACTGTTGTGTGTAGCCCAGTGGATAACATTGATCTGATTCATACATAGGAGACTGAAACGTTGTTGTGTCAATCCCATGCGTCAGCAATGTAGTGAACGGACGAGAATCCATTTGTGTCATGTTCGGGATATTGTGTACAATCTCTTTATCAATGTAGACTTCCAAACAATTTGGTGCTTGAAAAGTTGCACCGATACTTAATACGGTGTTCAACGCCTCATCGTCATTGATCGGTAATATCTTGTATTTGCTGTGTGCTTGCCACTGGCGATAAGGATATCTACATTTGAAGGTCAATCGGACACTTTTCCCGTAACTTGCCACCTTTGACGTAAACATCTCCTCCAAATTGCTAAGCGTGGTGCCAATTTGCACCGCATATATCCCTTTCGACTCAGCATCATATGATAAGCCTTCATCGGGATCTCGAATTATGTTTCCCCCCAGTAGAAAATAATTGGAACAGTGTCCATATACTTGCTTCAATTAAGACAAAAAACATTAAAATAGAAACAATATATTTATATCTCCTTGTACTTGTAAAAGAATTATATGAATTTTAACTTATTCAAGTACAATTACTTGTGACGCAAAAACTGTATTTAAGTAATCATCAATTATAATTCAACAATCATTATTGATTTTTTAATTAAGATATGAGTTAAAATAATGATAATGCTTTAGATTTTTTAGCTTTTTAAGAAAAACATCTTACAACACATACAAAATTAACATCATGCTCTTCTGTTATGTTTTTTACATTACTTATTATGATTAAGATCATGCTCTTATGCACAATAAATGTAATTCAGCTAAGTTTTAGGTCTAAAAATCTTTTATTAACTTTGGATTAATTTTGTATAAATTATAAAAAAAATGATTATAAATTATAAAGTAACAACATTTGTAATCATTAAATAAATATAATTGATGTAAGTTGATTTAGGTAATTGATAAATTATAAATCTAAGTAATTTACATAAACTTATAAGTGTAAGTTGTTAATCTTGTTACTTTGAGTGTAGGTAAACTTATGAATGTAGAAAAATTCAACAATTTTATGAGGTAGGTAAACTTATGAGTGTAGGTAAACCTAACTTTACATCAAAGTAACAATATTTCTAATTTACCTAAATTTCACATCATGACATAAATTATGAGTGTAGGTTGTGACTTTATATAAATTATAAAGTGTTGGTAACTTGATTTATACATAAAGAAAACTTATTTATACATATTAGTGACCACGCTTGTAAGTAAAATATGTAAAAACGTGTTTTCAAAACACATTTTGAACAAAAATTCAAAACCAGCACTCACTCTT